AAGAGCTTCAAGTACCTGTATTCCTTTGATGTCATCTTCATGCAATGTGAAGTTGGGGTTGTAGCCCTTTGCATACGGAAACATGACAGAAGCCAAAATGTCGGAGTGGCCCAATCCCAGAATATGCCCGAACTCATGTACAGCTGTGTGAAACAAGTTCTGACCTGCAACCGTCACACAGTCATACAACCACATCAGCTCGTGGACTATCCTTTCTTAAGAAAATCTCCATATTTTACAAAATCCAAAGGATAATGATCATGTTCATGCTGAATCCCATCCTATATCTAGAGCGCTGTCATCCATTCAAGGTCTGAATTTCCCTTCTTGCTGGAATTAACACACATCTTACCATGTACAAACTATGTACTTTTCTTCAACCAAACAGTTTTAATCATTTAAATAAAGTTATCAACTTTCAAGTGATATAATAATCACTAGTATAATGGAATAACAATTCTTAAGATATGATTCATGTTGCCAGTAGCTGTATAAGAATCAGAATTAACATACTTGACAAGAACTACAAATTTTCATTTCAAGAACAATATAAGTGATCACCGTAGACAACATTTTGAACATGTGAAGAGGAAAAGACATAACAGGATCCATTTCTTCCTGTAATTATAACCCATGAGGAAAATGAAACACTGGGGAGAACTAGCGCTGATGTGACTACACAAGGCTTTCTGCATGGTCGTACCTTCATAACATCTAATGGTCCACTCTTCAGCAATATCAAAATGCAATTTTCCAGAAGGCGGAGGAAAAGCATGCGCCACAACCATTCCCCTTCCATCAAAAGGCATCCCATCACCATGGTCTCTGCTAGCAAATGTAATCCTGATGTCTGCAAGTTCATTGTTTGTAGCTGGTCGGAACCTAAATTTGGTAACAGCAGCCCAGACAGCTGCAGCACGTTCCACCTCCTCATCCACAGCTGACGTGGGCAGGTCTGGATACATTTGTATCATATATGTCAAGTTATAATTTCCCCAGACTCCATCTGTGAGAACAAACAACACTCACTTTAGTTTGAAGATAAATTGTGATTTTGGACAAATGCAAGAGCACAGTCTGAGACAAGCAAAGGGAGGCCAAACAGAGTTGCTCATTCATACTGAACAATTTTTTTTATGTGTACTAAAATTGTTCTTGTTTTAAATTTAATTTTTTCTGATGTTACCAAGTTGGCCCCACTACACTGTTTTTTAAGTAAAACTGCAGTCACTATGAAATGCTACAATTCTGAGTGACCAAAAAAATACGAATCTTAAAGAACATAGAAGAAATATGCCGAAAGAACTGAGGAAAGTCACAAAAATTGTGAAGTGCCCTTAAACTTCTCAGACATGCGTCACCGACATCACTACTGCAGAGCCGCAATGCCACAGTAAACTAATAAGTGAGCCTCACCCAGTGTTGTATACCTCTTGCTCCGGCTGTACTCTTCATCAAAGTCATGTCTGTCCTTCATTCCACACCGAGGCTTCGTCATCATCTCATGTGTTGCTTCGTCCATCAAGCCTGAAGAAGATGTACTGTTCAAATATTTGACAAAGAGACAATAACAAATTGTTAATGGCAGAAGAAAGCAGTGTATCTAGACCTGCAAAGAAATCAAACTACAGCCTGCAGATATACAATGAAGAATGTGTTGTAAGAAACAAAGAAAAAGAAACACAAGGAGCACAGTGTAAGGCACATCATAATATCTGCTTGTCCTTGCACTATGAACAAATTCTGCCTACTCTACCATATCATATTAGTAACAAAAGCTAAATATATACTTTTAACTAAATGACTGACTAAGGAACAAATTCATTCTTGAAAATCGAACAGTAGCTCAGTTGGTCCAGAAATTCCCCACTTTTCATTAAACCTGAAGGCTCACTGTAATGTCACAGCAGCCCCACTGGAACCAATCCTGAGTGAGATCAACCCAGTTAAAAAAGTATCTGAACTGAAAGGTAGCGAGCATTGCCCAAATTAAATCTGCTTTTAATTTCCCCATGAATCAAATTTTTATTCCTTACTGTCGCTCCCAAATATCTGAACTTTGCCACATTTTCAAAGAATCCAGTAGCTGGCATTAAGTTACGATTTTGTCCTGCATTCTGCTGATGAGGCATCAACTTATACTTTGTTTTCTCTGTGTTTACGTCTAGACCAACCTCGTTACTAGCATCAATAAGAGCTTCTGTGTTTTTCCTTATGGTATTTATTTACATCCCCCAATAGATTTTACATCATCAGCCTAGACCAGAAGCTGATGTGTCCCATTAAATTTTAGTTCCATTTGGTGTTCTTGGACCTTCCTAATTGCATATTTTAAAGCAAAGTTGAAAAGCAGTGGTGATAAAGCATCTCCTTGTTTTAGACCATCTTGAATAGGAAACGTGTTAGACAAATGTTTGCCTATACGGGCTTTATTATATGTTTCGTTTAAACACATCTTAATAAGCCATATACCAAACTCAATGAGAATACTGTTCAATACTTTCTTTCTAACCAAACATTTGTACAATTTTCTTATATGTCCCATGCAAGTTAATGCCCCACACATGTGAATCCCACTGCTTTCATGTATCAGCACCTGTTGATTCAAGTCCAACAAACTGCTGGAAGTCAGCAACAGCTTCGGTCACTACATTTGAATCCATGACTACCTTTCTGTTCAAAATCTGCGAGTCCAAGTAGCCAAAATCAACTAGGTACTCCTGAAACAGAGGTATGGATTATCATTAATTCCCTCCCACACGATACTGCTTGCTCGGTATCTTCATATCTGTTTTATGAAGAGGAACGGAAATGTTGGTGCACTGGAAGCAATTACTTTAGCCTTAGCACTTTGAGGAATCATAATCTACAGATGGATAGGCACAGTGAAAGACCACACAGCAATATCAAGTCCTCCCAGAGGACATCTTATGCTTTTCAGCATTCAAATATGGTTCAAAGGTCATGCAGAGCTCCACCTGAGATGGTTAGAACAATTGTTCTGTAATATAAGATAACAGTTTTCTGCACAGCAATAGTCAGTCCTTGAAGCAGTCAGATCATGAAATCCATTGAACAGGAATGTTGCAACCGTCCCTTTCTCCAACACTAGGAGTTGCCCTGCTCGGTTGTAGCCTTTTATGACTTTTTTTTTAGGTTTATGGGGTTAACTGGGGAACTTAGCTCTGGTGAGCAGAGATATATTTTTAACAACTAGGCAATATTTCAAGTATCCAGACATGAAAATATCAAAGACATTCATTATAATAATCAAGACTGAAACTACACCTTGAATGTAAGATTAGCTACTAAGCACTATCTGTGTATCATATCATCAATGCTAAGTGCAGTTGATAAAACTGAGATGCACGCCCTGACTACATTTAAATTTTCTATAACTAAACCAGTGGATTCACTTACAATGGTGCCCATACAGGTGTTTAAAGGTGCAGAAAAGGTCATTACAACGAGGAACAGACACACCACAAGACCACAGCACCACATCATCACAGGTTCAACTGTTGTGTGATGTATTGTTAACTTATCAAGGATAATCTCTGTCTGCCCCTTCCACTTTATCTCTAATCATACTTAAACCCACATTATGGCAGATGACTGATATGTA